CCCCTTCATATTTATTTCTTTGCACTTCTCTTCCATTTCATATCATTTCTGACGACATCTGTCTCCTGTTTATACATCTCTCTCTTTTCTGAACACCTCGCTCGCTGACCTGTATTTATTATATGGTTGTGGCCTCTAGTTCTAAGTATGTGAGGCAAAGCAGTCCTCAATGCAAAAAGTATGAACACCCATTATGTTGGGCGAGAGAGAATGAATATCGGTAATACATACTTTTATTGTCCTTCCAATGACAAATACCAACAATACAGCTGGATGAACTTAGTTTGGAAAATAAATCTCAAAACATGCTCAGAAAACTGGACATGCACACCTGTAATCCATGACTTGGAAGTAGCGTTGATGGAGAATCTAGAATTGGGCAATTATTTTCATGAGTGAATCCACCAACAGGGCAACACACAATGGTCCCTGTAGAGGCCAGTATTATAAATAGGTTTCTGCAGGTTATATTCAGTGTTCTCACTTTCATTGTTGTGGGGTTTATCCATACAGAGCTGCATAAACGTTCAATAACTCTGACCCCCAAAAAATTATCGAGACTCCGCAAAGCTTTCCGAGGGAAAGCTTTAAAATATAAAAAACACTGGATTTGAAAATGTTGTTTGGAATGGCAGTCACCCCAGAAAATGTGTTTTTAGTCAACACTAATCACTGAGCCATGCTCTGTGCCATGTACACTTGAGGCATAGAATTGCACAATATGAGCGAATTTATACCGTATAGTGTTCCCAATTCAAATTGGATTTCGAAACGCTGGACATAGCACACAGTGTGCGAGTGTATATGTGGGGAGTGGTCATGTAGTGGTCGGTGCACAACACTACGAACCCGGCGACCAGTTCGATTCCCGCTAACAACAAATAACAGACAAATATTTGAACTGGTTCCAGGCCTCCCCAAGGTGGACTCAGCCTTAACGAGTACCTCGTCCACTGGGTAAACATCAGTACTGGGGAGACAAAGACGGCAGGGTGTAGTGCTGGCCACCCACCATCTCGTGTGCCATTGCCAGTGGTTACTAAACAGCACTTGCCCCAAGTCTCTTAAAGGCCTTTAAGGGGGATCTCTGTATTTGTGAGTGCATGTGGAGAGTGGTAACTCAATGTTCAGCACAAGAGTGGTGGGAAACTAACAATGGTTGGTGTGTTTTGGATAGTCTGGTCTTCGTCATAAGGTGGACTTGCTCAAGACAATGACGACTGCCACAAAACACTCAGTTGCACAGATAGCGCCCCCTTTAATCCTTTAAAAAGATGGCTCATTATTAAATTATGTTATCACGAGTACAGTATGTTAATTAAATGGAACAAAATTACCCAGATAAGATCACATTTCAATACAGATGACCAGCAAATCATAACTGACCATACGATGTCTCAATAAAGAGCTGGACATTCTGTAACACCCAGTTATAATGTACAGTACTGGTCTTTTCTTGGTCAGGGTAAATTGAAATTGTTTTTTTCATCTAATGACATTATGAAGTTTAAATTATATTGAGACCCAAGTCTGTTTTGTGCAACGTGTTAACTTAATTCCTTAACGTAACCAAGGCAGAGCAGGCGAGTGTGCTTTTGGAAAACTGAAATGAATAATGAAAAGCAACACACCAATGGGCCTAAATAATACAGTATTTAAGAAGTACATAAACACGGACAGTGATAACGTAAATTGAACATTAGTTGAAACGTGTCATAATTAACGACGAAATGACATCTTCTTGGTTCTTTCGGTAAAGTCACGTAGAAGGGAAATAATAAAATAATAAAAATTAAACATTAAAATTCTCACGACGTTTCGGCCACAACGCAAGCAGCCGTCCTCAGGTGAAGAACAGGACAGCGTCTGTCTTTCTGACAGACCTGTTCTACACCTGAGGACGGCTGCTTGCGTTGTGGCCGAAACGTCGTGAGAATTTTAATATGTTTAATTTTTATTATTTTATTATTTCCCTTCTACGTGACTTTACCGAAAGAACCAAGAAGATGAATCCCTGCACTCACGAAAGCTTCAAGACGAAATGACAGCCAAAGGAGGTGACATTCCCAAGAGGATGTCCACTGGAGAGATGGAGTGATTAAATTCGCTCGGGTGTGGCAGTGAATGGGCAATTGATGGTTTGCTGAATCTCAAGATCCATGAGATACGAGGCTGTCATCCAGCAGTGGTTTGACAAAGGGTTGTAAATAATTCGTATGTATTACCATCCTGCAGTTATGTTGATTTCGGTCAGTTGATTTGTTTTAGTTCAGTTCATTTTGCACTCTGTGCCATGACACATTAACGTAAGTCTGCTAGTTTTAATAAGAGTGTCACATAGACTCGCATTCACTTGTACAGCAGATTGGGTGTACTTTGGCAATGTTCCGCTAAAATTACCACACAAGTTGCGTGGTTTGAACGGTGATACTTGTGGCAAATAACTGCTGAAACTTTGGAACAAGCCGTGTCTGTACTCGAAATAAGTATAGGGCCTCTGGGTATCTAGCATGTGTGTGCATGTGCACGTCGGTGTAATATTTTCACGTGTGTTTATCTTTTTGCCTGCATGTGTCTGTGGGGAGCAATGGAATATGTCGCTGTGAGCGCACTGAATTTCCGAATGGCAACGTAGCTGTGTACTTCGCCAAAAACAACGATAATCTAAACCTGCCCTAGCCAACCAGGGCCTAAAAAGGCCAGGGCACATCACAGCATGTTGACATCAAGACACTTCTACCAATCGTCTGCAAGGTTTAAACGCTATTCTTCACCTTAAAAACGTACGTTTTAAATAATTAGTATTCCTTGTGCGTCTCACAACACGTGCGTTAAATAGGAATTGTACTTTGTAAATGTGCAATGATTCAACGACTTACGCCAGGCTCATGATTTGTGAGATCCTGGTGAATACGTGGAGATTGTGCCCAATACCACACGATACAACCAGAAACACATGGAACAAAAAACCTTTACAGATTATAGGTCAAACCTCTGATATGGCAACACTGCCTAATGGCTACGATCAATAAATAACAGCTCTGGTGAAGTGTACATGGATGTCTCAGTAGCAGCGTGCACAGCCCGTGACTGTACGAGGGTTTTCTTTTTGCCATGTGCCATAGCCTATTGAGTTAATCAGGCAGTGTGCATTCATGTGGGCAATCAAGAGAATGCTTTCATCCAGCAGTAAAAGGATCATGGCTGTTGAAGTTGATGATGGCACATTTGTGTGACTGTGTAATCCCAGAACCTCCCAATAATCACGGTTGACTACGTACGGCGCGAAATAAGTTCAACACACGGTACATACATTGTTGGTGTGTGGTGTGGGTGGGTGCAATGTTACCACAATAACAAGTTGGAAACGGAAACAAGAACCGGACATGTGAGAGCTCAAACTCCACACGACTTTCACACAAACACATGGCGCACACACACCCATCACACGAACTCTGTTGTACACGTGAAGTTGCAAACCCAAACCAATACCAACTAATCAAACGGTACATAGAGTACACACACAATGGACACTGCTGGATCAAGGTCATTACAGTATACTAAAACACACACACAAGATCCCACACGCCCATGCCATTCTCACATTCGACAACCAATTCGATGTTTTGCTGTACTGTATTTATGAAAGTCGGTGTCTTTAGTGCAAGGTGCTAACTCATCTCCGTTAGCTAGTGGCAATTCCACATTACCATGGCAGAGGATCAGTAGCCCTCGACACAGTCAACCACTGCTGCTGCCATGCCACACAATGGTACCGATTTTAATCGACCCAGGATATGATGGGCACCCATATACTTGTGTAGTACGGTGTACACACATTCTCATACAGATGCGTTTGGCTGATGAACACACTAAACCTATTAACACGAGTACAAAGCTGAAAAAAACACCAACATAGTTCACAAAGGCAAACCCAGGCGTGATGTAAAGATACCATAACCGTGGCTGCAGTTAAAGAATGTAAGCACTTAAAACAATAACGTAATGTTCATACATTTGCATTATTAAACACACCCGGGTGAATGTATTTCGAGTCAAAGTCACACACATGGCAGTATATAATCTGTCGAGGTGCACTTCCAGGTTTACATTCATTCTTAAGATAGTTGTTTACCAACACAACAAACTGCCCCCGTTTAGTAAATCCACTGCTGTAAGCTGGACGAGGGATATTTGACCATACTTCACCATGCTGGTAAATGTGGGAATACATAAAATGTTTCTGCATTGCCCACCAACTACTACACGTGTTATTGTGTATGGCGGGCACCCATCAAAGCAGCATGCAGGAAACTATAACTTTGGTAGCTTCCGAGACCTTTTCCAGGTGATGAAGATGTCATAGGTGAGTTTATACTAACAATAGAAAACGCAAATCCGCATGCACAATACGCATTTAAAACAATACTCGTTTCTTTGATCCACAAAATGTCCTCAATAGGCCCAATACTGTATACACCAACACATAACCATTCGCATGTGGTGTTTAAGTGTACAGAGTACTGTATTTATACATTATAGGTGGTAACGAAATTAGAACACAGTAAATCAAATAGGCCAAGCCACACATTGTGCAATTCGAGTGCTAAAATAGTGGCCCTCGCCCGTGAAATGTCACGATTTTAGACTCTCTTACCCCAGACATTTCTTACTTTAAACAAGCTTCGGTGTTTGCCACGGTCGATTTACACAATTACACAAACTCAGCCTTAACAACAATGCACACCATCCACTGTGCTGTGCTTCTACACGCGAAGACGACACGTGTAGAGGACGATGGCCATGCCGTTGTTACCACATCGGTTCGCGATACAACACAACACAACGCCAGTGTTCAATTAACCACGACTTAAGAGTTAGCCTTCCCATGATGTTTAGGGGTAGCAAGTTCTGTTTAGCGAGCACCCAGGGCAGTGTTGGGGCCAGTTAGCACACCCGGCCGTCTTTGTATCCCTGGCTCCTTGACGATGTTCACTCACCTCGAGTTGGGAAGCCCTCCGGGGAAGGGCGTTTTCCCTGCGATTTTGGCGCAAACGATTGCACCTCAGTTTATGTTCGTCTCCCTTTCTTTGTACGTCTATCTTCTCACTCGTGTGTATCAAGCCCTGCACAATTATCTCTCTCCGTGTGTGTGTTTGTGTTTGTATGTGTCCCTCTGTATACGCCTCTCTCGTGTCTGCCTTTGCCTATCTACGGTGTAGCTCTTGCATGTGTTGGCAAACCACCACACCACCTCCCTCGGCGATTCCTTTGTACGCCTTCCCTGTCTCCCAGTGCAACGTTTTCACCTCTATCTGTGTGTGTGAGTACGTGTGGGTGTACAGTGTGTATCTCGATGTCGTAGTTACTACCAGTGGCCTCCTGTGCAAAAAAACTAAGTTCTAAATATCTCGCAATTGACGCGTGCACGGAAGGAAGAAGACGACTCACTGCCCCGATGATCCTCCTCCTCCCTGTGCGAGCCTCTCACTCTGTGTGTGCTCCGCGGACGTGCCGCTCTCCCTCCCTCCCTACCCAGCAGACCCCAAGTCCCACGTAGACATCCGCGGAAGTCGACCTCCACTGTGCGATAAAAGCCACGCGGTGCAGAATACGTCCCGAGTGGAAATCCGCGGAAGTGAACCTCCACTGTGCGATAAAAGCCACGCGGTCCAGAATACGTCCCGAGTAGAAATCCGCGGAAGTCAACCCTCCACTGTGCGATAAAAACCACGCTGTGGAAGCTACGTCCCACGTAGAAATCCGCGGAAGTCAACCCTCCACTGTGCGATAAAACACACGCGGTGCAGAATACGTCCCGAGTAGAAATCCGCGGAAGTCGTCCTCCACTGTGCGATAAAAGCCACGCGGTGCAGAATACGTCCCGAGTGGAAATCCGCGGAAGTCAACCCTCCACTGTGCGATAAAAACTACGCGACGCAGGCAACGTCCCGAGTAGAAATCCGCGGAAGTCAACCCTCCACTGTGCGATAAAAACCACGCTGTGGAAGCTACGTCCCACGTAGAAATCCGCGGAAGTCAACCCTCCACTGTGCGATAAAACACACGCGGTGCAGAATACGTCCCGAGTAGAAATCCGCGGAAGTCGTCCTCCACTGTGCGATAAAAGCCACGCGGTGCAGAATACGTCCCGAGTAGAAATCCGCGGAAGTCGTCCTCCACTGTGCGATAAAAGCCACGCGGTGCAGAATACGTCCCGAGTGGAAATCCGCGGAAGTCAACCCTCCACTGTGCGATAAAAACTACGCGGTGCAGGCTACGTCCCGAGTAGAAATCCGCGGAAGTCCCACCGAGACATTGACTCTGCAACAAACCCACACGTGCTACGTGCTGGGGAGGAGCGGTGGGGAAACCGGTTAGCGCTGCACTGCGCCACCGGACCAGCGAACCCGCCCGGCCTGCATTTGATTGAACACCGACTACGGATGTTGTGATGCATGATAACGGTCCTGAGTGCCCCCTTTCCCGCAACCTTCACGGATAAAAGTGGTGAAATATGTAATATATTTTGGTAAAGTCACGTAGGTAGAAATATAAAAGAATATATAAAAATCAACAAAAAATAATAGAAAAATTTAACAAAAAATTATATATAATTTTTGTTTTATTTGATTTTTCTATTATAATAGGGTTTCCCCCTTTTTTCTGGCAACATTTTCATTTATTTTTCTACCTACGTGACTTTACCGAAAGAACCAAAGAGCATGGATGGATTCCTACAGTTGCGAAAGCTTCAAATCAAGATTGGTGACATATGGTCAAACAAGTAATGTATTGTGACCATATACTCTACAAAAAAAGAAAATTTTCATTATCACGGCCTTGTAACAGCAACACTACTTGTGTTTACCTTTTTTTGTAAAAAGTATGACAGTTGTGTATAGATTTTTTTTTTCATAGCATTGATGTGCGTGCGTGCGTGTACAAATTATTATACATTTTGCGAATACGGTGCTTTGGGTGAGGGTCTATTGTGTAATATAACATCCATGGATACAGCTATCGCTTGCTCACACTACTGTTGATGGAAGGGCCTCCTCCTCTCGAGGGAGCGCTGTAGGGTAGTTTTTGCGAACACTTCCCACACTCATTCGGACGCTGTCTTTCCGACAGACCTGTTCTTCACCTGAGGACGGCTGCTTGCGTTGTGGCCGAAACGTCGTGAGAATTGTATTTTATTATGTTTTATTATTATTATTTAATTTTTTCCCTTCTACGTGACTTTACCGAAAGAACCAAGAAGATGAATCCCTGCAGTCACGAAACTTCCCACAGTGTCAAGGACGACTATAGTGCGGTTACTGACTTTTTACTCCAAAATTCGCACGAGATTGCCTATTGACTGCGATGTAACCCATTTGTAACGCTACAGTTTAACATCTTTAATCACAGACATTGTATAGGCCAACCAACCAGGCAAGTGCACAGACCATTTTGTCTTGCTTGCCTTACATTAGCAAAAATACAACACGTTGTTTACACGCACACCACATGAAAAAAACCAACACGTACACACATGCCCAACCATCACATGGATAATCATCGAACAAAGACGGCCACTGCATCTGGAACGCTATGCACTTTAAAATCTAGGTTAGAAACTCATTTCTTTAGAAATACTTTTCCTGTTTTAGTTTGTTGTTCTTCCCCCGTACGTTGCGAAAGAAGTTCAGCATACATACAGACATGGCAGATACTACTGGATATAGCCCAAACTTCCGCGGATATCCACGGAGCCTTGTTTTTTTTTGTCAGAGTTTAAAGTTCGTCGGGTTTTTTTTGTTGGGAGTAACAATGCTGCTGGGATGGGTTTTTGGAGCAGGGGGATGGGCAGCCACTTTGGGAATTCCTACAAAGGGATGGTGGGCCTGGGGTCCAGTCGCGTGTGATGACTGGGCTATGTGTGACCCTTTAAATAAACACTGCTGTGTGTGCAAGTAAATATTTTGATCCGCATGAGAGAAACACCAACACCGGTGCGAGTGCATGGCCACTAATGCACCAGCAGTTTCAAGGATGCGTATGTACTTGTATGTAAAACACATACACCCTGCGTATGCGTGTCGAAGTCCGCCACTGTATGTGAACCATTACACGCATTAAAGTTGTATTTGTTGTGATACAGGATATCTACTATTATCTGTTTCCCTATTATTCACGACTTATATAATCTGCCGTTCTTCCAATAATCCGAAATTGTGTTTAATCTTGGATAGCCCCGCGGATAATAGGTTCTGCAATATTGGTCCACCACACCAGCACGGAGAAGATGAGTTCTGTATCTTCCTGGAGATCTGTTGATCGAAAAGTCACCACCATTCCTCTCGCTGACATTTAATGTCTGTTTTGTTTTCACTTGCTCGCCGAGGTCCAAGATGAGCGCTTACCCTTTGCTTATTTGAACAGAGGGACACTTTGACTTTGTGTTATAGTGTTACAATTATGTTCTACACCGCATGGCTCGCATTCTTGCAAAGCCTGACCTATGACCCTCAGAAGTTGGCTGGCGGACAATGCACGAGAATAGCCAGTGGGTGACATCAGATTGACGAGTAGCAACGCGAGACCAGTCGAGAGGGAGAGAGGATGGAATGGGCTGATGGAAAGGACACTTTACAACTCTGAGCTAACTGGGACTGCCATTATCAACTATGGTATGCATTGCTAATGCATGCTGTGTTAGAGTTGAATTAAGCTAGTAGCATAGCGTAATATTAAGATTAACTTATTCGTTTTAGGGTTGCTGCGATGTCAGGAGACGATATTAAATACCAAGAGCTGATGATTGTCATGTTGTCAGTTTTAATTAAATATTGAACTGTATTGATGTCGTGTTTTGCTGTACTTCAAGTGCAAATAGATTTATAAATAGTTTTTAATCTGCAGTTCACTCAACATAAGCCTGCCATAGGACTTCGAATAATTGCATCTCTGTAACCTATAAGGCTTTGAAATGCATACACTGAGTTACACTAAACCAATTGTATTATCAAATGAACAGTGGAAATAATTACTTAATATAACGTCAAATACTTAAAAAAAGAAGTTAAGCAAATCCCAAATTTAATGGGTGATAGCAATTTTTCAAGAAACTTAAATACTATTGACTACTGCACAGTAGTTTTTTTATTTACTTCATAATATGTCCCCCAAAAAAACCAGCAAATATAATCACGATATGGCGCTATTTTTTTTAAACGGACGACCCAATTATCGTAGTATCGTCATATCGTGGCAATTTTAAATAATACAACACATGCAATCACTTTAGTACAGTACTTAACAATAATGTACCGTGCATAACTTTAGTTGTAATACGAACCGCTTTTATTTAACATAAACATGCTATACTTAGCCTAAACGCATCTACATTATCCATTCAACATTAATAATTCATGTGAAAATGCGTTGATTAATTATTTCGTCATTGCTGGAGATTGTATGTAGCTGTGAATAGAGTTGGGCTGTGAGAACTAATAAGAGGCTAATATATAATGCATTGGTGTGAATACGTCAGCTGCTAACTCCTCCAAGTGGATAGTCTCCAAACGAAGCTCAAATAAGTCGTTGTTTAAATTACCTCAAAATAAGTAATATTAAAATATACTTTTTTTTTATACACGCTTTAATGAAATGTACCGTACTAGTAATGGAAGAACTCCACCACTTCAGGAAGTTGCCCCGAAGCTTGCAATAATGTAAGTGGCCGTGGTCAATTGAGCGTGGATAATTAGACCCAAGGCGAAAGATAACATATAAAAAAGAATGTTTAAAAATATATTTTAAATGTTTAATGATAGAATATAGTATTGTCATCAGTATGACATAAGTATACCAAGATTGCAGTCGATACCACATTGGGAAGTGGGTAAAAATTGAGTTACAAGATTTGAGGATACAACAGAGTGAGTTAATAAAAATCTTCTTGGTTCTTTCGGTAAAGTCACGTAGAATGGAAATAATAAAAAATAAAATAATAAAAATAAAACATAATAAAGTAATTATGTTATGTTTTATTTTTATTATTTACCGAAAGAACCAAGAAGATGAATCCCTGCAGTCACGAAAGCTTTAAATCGAAATTTAATTTTAAAAAATCGTGTAATAAAGTATCGACAGACGTTGCTAGATGGACCTTCTGATTGGGATTTTAGCCCCATATCACACTGAACCTGCAATCCAGAGGTTCACCGGTTCGATTTCCGGGCACGACAGTGTAACATATTGACGCGTTTCTTAGATCTCCCTGCCTCTTGTCAACCGATCGGTACAAACAGGCGCAGCCAGAGTTAGCCGATGGCCAGATTTGCATGAGTTGGGCTAAATCTAAAGTATTCCACCACGTTCAAGACGTCTGGCCAACAAGAAGTAGGTAAGTTGCCTCTAGAGCTCCCTCTAGTGGAGTCCCTTCTGCCAAGACGTATGGGCAAAGCAAATTCAGTCCTGCACCTTGAACCTTTGACATCTCGTCGTGAAAATGTCACTAGACAAAT